CGTCAGTGGTGGTAAGTTTGCTGACCTGCGGACGGTTTATTCCCCTCGTCTGGACTGCAGGCAGTTAGTTTTGACCCCTCGCATTGGACTGCAGGCTCTCAGTTATAGCCCCGAGCCTTGGACTGCAGGCGGTTCGTTTTGACCCATCGTACTCAAGCCCCGGTGATCCAAGATGGCGCCCTATTCAAATGAATGGCTTTTACTCAGTAGCGGATGGGACTTCACAGAGACCGGGAAATTAGCAGAACTCGCCTATATTTGGGCATCGTCTGGTCCTCCCGGTTCTGCGCAGTGGACGAGCTCCCATGATGCGTTGCGCCAAATGTATTTGGATTTAAAGAAAACCGAAGGATTTAAGAAGAAAAAAAGTTCAGGATGACAAGGGACACTAAAATCTCCACAAAATCCGATATTTCTGTCAGCTGAGGTCGAGCTGTTTTAGTTTACATTGAGTTCTATGGGACTTTTTTCTGGGTAGCCCGCGTGAATTTAGTTTGCAGTATAACGGGCGCACCCTGTGCCCATGGGTGGGACAGCTTTAAGCTAGTGATACCCTAACCAGTTATTATTATAGATCCATGATCGTACTGCAGGCTTTTGGCCCCGTGCATTGGACTGCAGGCTCTCAGTTTTAAACCCTCGCATTGGACTGCAGGCTTTCAGTTTTAACCCCTCGCATTGGACTGCAGGCTGTCAATTTTAACCCCTCGCATTAGACTGCAGGCTGTCAGTTTTAACCCCTTGCATTCGACTGCAGGCTGGCTGTTTTAACCCCGAGAACTGGTTGCATCATTTATGGACTGATCTCAGAGAACGTGATAAAGCACAGGGTGGTGTAATGTTTCCCCTTTGTACTGGCGCAGACTGTCTTGCACATTGTCAACGGATTGCGTTTTGGGACCACTAGAAGATCTTGAGCTCCTGTACACGTAAGGGATTGTGCAGACTCTGGTTCGTCTTGCTCGGAAAATGTGGTCTCATTTTTAGTTCTGACTGTGTCTCTGTAGACTGGGCTCGCAACGTGGCCTCTCCCGCAAACGCGGTACTGTGTGGAACTCTTCAGCGTGGCGACAATAAAATGTTCATGTTTGATGGGTCCTTCAAGAAACATGCAAGGGCGCGAATGAAGAAACAACTGTTAAGCCGCTGGTCATTTACGCTGGTCATCGACGCTGCTATTCCCAGACAATAAAAAAAAAAAGAAAAAAGAAAAAAAAGAAAAAATAAGAATAAAAAGAAAAATACGGGGCGTAATCGGGTCTGTTCATGCCATGGGTCGACATGGCTGCATTTCATACGCTGCAATAGTTTCTGTCTCGTAGGTGCCGTTGATCTATGTGAGAAGGGCTTTTCCTGATGTCCTAGCCGTGCTGTCCTTGGAGCCTGGTTCCTTCGTCGCTCTCTGTGCTGGGGGGCCCATCCTGCCTCCGTGAGGCCGCCGTTCCGAGGGGCTTTCATCCGGGCCTTGATCAGCGTCCGCCTTTCGGCCCCGGTCTTCCTGCCCCGGCTCGCCCACGCGCTCGTGCTCCATCCCGATTGGGCGTTCATCGTCTTCCTCCTGACGTCGGCGTCCATCGCGTCTCGTGACCTGCTGCCTGCTTTCCGCAAGCCCCACGGGGCCACGCGGCTCTGATGTGGGAGGTGTCCAGGCCCCGTTGGTGTCGAAGCGCCAGCTGCTCTCCCTGCTCGGGCACCTCAATTGTGCCGTCCGGTTCGTTCCTCAGGGCCGTTCCCCAGGGCCGTTCCCCAGGGCCGTTCCCCAGGGCCGTTCCCCAGGGCCTCCTTGCCTTAACTGGTTTTGGCCCCTCCCACCTTGACGCTGTCTTCCCTGGACGCCGGGTGCCGCCCTGGCCTGTGTTCTGGTCCCGCCTGCTGGGCCTGGGTCGGCGTCTCTTTCTGCGGTGATGTCACTTGTTCCTCCGATGCCCTGCGCTTCTTTGCGGACGCTGCCTCGTCCTTTGGTTTTGGGGGGTCTACCAGGACCAGTGGTTCACCGGGCCGTGGTCCAAAACTTTCCCTCGGAGCTTCTCCCCTGCCCTCCACAAAAGATCCAGTAGTCGTGGCCCGTGCGCCGTGGAGTCCCACGTTGCAGAGAAAAAGGATCTCTGTGATGTCAACAAGCTGGACGTCGTAGAAATCCTAAATAAAGGTCTTTCTTCCTCTCCTCAAGATTCTTTGAACTAGTCCCACATTCTCTTCGTCTTCTCTTCTCTGCTTCTTCGTGCATAAAATTGGGTCTTTTACGCTCAAAACATACAGCTTCGCTGGAAAGTCTACTCCCACTTCTACTACTCACACAACTTTCCTTTACTTTCGCCTGCTGTTTATGCAATCAGTGCTTTCATAGTTCACCGTGCTGACAATCTCCTTTCAATATCTCCTACATACCTACCCTGCTCGCTGGGATCCAATTTCAGGCCCGCTGCTACAACCCTGTTCTCTCCTCTCTATTCCCAGAGCTGTCACTCAAACTCCTCGTAAAAGGCACCCGCAACTGCTACTACGTAATCTGTCTCCCCAGCTCACTCCTTCAGGACAGGCGCTGCTACGCATGCGGCGTCGCTGGGTTTCCCCTTCTGCCCTCCACAGCTGGGGCCCTGTTCGTATACATCAGGCCAGACACTACGACTGTAATGGCAGCCCAGCGCTCCATGGCATCCCTGTAAGCACTTGCAAACTTCCTGGTGGTGGCAGCAGCTGAGCATTTATAAATAACGGTGCATTTATATATAGCGGTGCATTTATATATAGCGGTGCATTTATATATAGCGGTGCCTTTTTACATAGTGGTGCATTTATACTTAGCGGCGTATTTATATATAGCGGTGCATTTATACACAGCGGTGCCTTTATACACAGCGGTGCCTTTATATACAGCGGTGCATTTATAAATAACGGTGCATTTATATATAGCGGTGCATTTAAATATAGCGGCACATTTACTGTATATATAGCGGTGCCTTCCTACATGGCGGAGCCTTCCTACATGGCAACACCTGATCCCACATGGAGCTGCAGTCTCTGGAGTGGACTCCCCAGCCCCCCACTCATCCCTCAAAGCCACATTCTCCAGCTTCATCTCCAAGCCATCTCCGATTTTATCCTTAAATCCAAACCCTCTACCTCTCAGCTCGACCCTCTCCCCACAGTTCTTGTCAAATCCTGCCTCCCCTCAGTTGCTCCCCTCATCACTAATATCATTCATTCATCTCTCACTTCTGGTACTGTCCCTCTCTAATTCAAAACAGCCTCAGTCTCCCCCATTCTCAAAAAACCTGGCCTGGATCCCACCAACTTCAACAACCTCTGTTCCATCTCAAACCTTCCCTTCATCTCCAAAATACTTGAAAAGTCTGTCGCTGCTCAACTCCACAGCAACCTCACCACTAACAACATCTACGAACAATTTCAATCTGGTTTCCGTCCCCTCCACAGCACCGAAACAGCACTGTTAAAAATCACTAACGACCTCCTCATAGCCTCTGACTCTGGTTTACTCTCCATCCTCATCCTTCTTGACCTCACTGCAGCTTTTGACACCATTTCTCACTCCACTCTCCTTAATAGACTCTCCTCTATCGGCATCACCCACACCCCAATCGCCTGGTTCACCTCCTATCTTTCTGGTCGATCACAATACACCCATCTCAAATCACTTTCCTGTCTCCGCCGGTGTGCCTCAGGGCTCTGTCCTGGGGCCCCTCCTCTTCATCATCTATATTCTCCCACTCGGTCACATCCTCCGCCGTCACAACATTCACTTCCACTGTTACGCGGATGACACCCAGCTCTACGATGACACCCAGCTCTACCTCTCCACTAAACCATCTTCCTCTCTCCCTCCATCCTCCATCACCCTCTGTTTACAGGAAATTCATTCCTGGTTCTCTTCCAACTTCCTCAAACTCAACAGCTCTAAAACTGAAGTCCTTCTTGTAGGCACCCCCTCCACTCTCTCCAAATCTAACTGCTTCTGTGTCTCCATCCATAACACATCTGTCCTCCCCTCCCGTCGGGTCAAGATGGGTGTCATCCTCGACAGTTCACTCTCCTTCCAATCTCACATCAATAACATCACTCGGTCTGCCTACTTCCACCTGCGCAATATCTCTCGTCTCCGCCCCTCTCTCACCCCCCACACCACCGCCATCCTCGTCCACAGCCTCGTCACCTCAAGGATTGACTACTGCAACGCTCTTCTCTTTGGCCTCCCCAACAAATCCCTCCAGAAACTGTAGCTCCTCCAAAACTCTGCTGCTCGCATCATCACCCGGACCCCCAGAGCTCACCACATCACCCCCATACTCCGACAACTCCACTGGCTTCCTGTTAAACAACGCATTAATTTCAAAATACTCCTCACCACTTTCAAAGCACTTCACAACCTGGCCCCTCCGTACTTATCTGACCTCCTACACCCTGCCAATCCTGCCCGTACACTCCGCTCCTCCTCCACTCACACTCTCCGTCCCCCCAGCCAGACTCATCACCGTGGGACACAGAGCCTTCAGCCACTCTGCCCCCCATCTCTGGAACTCTCTCCCCCTGACCTCAGTAGCATTGTCTCTCTTCCACTCTTCAAATCCAGACTCAAAACCCATCTGTTCAGACTGCCCTACCCCACCTAACACACACGCACCCACCTTCCCACATTGCACTAGTGTTTTATTCTGTTATATTCTGTTGATCCTGTTTTTTTATGTGTTTTATGTCCTGTACAGTTTCCTTGGGTGTTTTGAAAGGCGCTTTTAAATAAAATGTATTATTATTATTATTATGCACTCGCACTCATGCTTGCATAGATCGTTCTGCCAAACCCATAAACCAAAGCTTTTTGAGGGAACGTGCGCGCACTCAAGCAGGAGCCTCGCTGACTAAGTGCCGCACTGGGGCCTGGGGCGCCAAACAACCCATCAATAAAAACCTTCAAACTGCATTTTGTCTTATGAAGTCTCTCCAGATTGAAATTAGAGTTGGTTGTTGGAGATCGCCACACTGACCTGTCCCACTCTGGTGTTGTCACAGGCAATGATGGCACTGTTGCTCCCGGCGACAGATGGGACGTTGTCGTTGATGTCCAGGACCTGGATGGTGACCTGCACGTAGCTCATCATGCGTGGGTTATCTGCCAAGGAGAACAAACGACAGACATCACACATCAGAACTCAGAAATCCACGCACTCCACCTGTATCTCTTGTGTCATTTATTCTCGTTTACAAATTCCCTTTGCAGCATTCCTTTACTCCAGAGTAAATGTATATGTAGATGGACAATGCAAACCAGGGGTAGTCCCAGGATGCCTCTGGATTTCTCCGGATTAGCTGGAATGTGTGTGGACAGGGAAGATGAATGTGTGATAAAGCTTAAAGGAGCAGGATGTAAAAATCTTGCCAAAAAGTGGTACTGCAGTCACAGTCAATATTTAGGCCCGAGCCCCAACCGGGGTAAGGGCCTATTGCTTTTCCAACGAGTAATGCCTGGGCGAAGCCCAGGCATTACTCGTTGAACTGTCATAAGTCACAATCTCCGGGCGCAGCCCGGAGATTGTGACCTGCACGCGACGGCACGTGCCCAGACACTGATAAATCCGTGCCGGAGGCACGGAATGGCTTTGTTCCTGCTGTAGTACACAGTGAAATGATTGAAGTCCTATTAAAGGGGGGTTCCTTCAACTGTTTTACGGACGAATGTCCGGGCGAAGCCCGGACATTCGTCCCCCAAGCCCGACGGCGCGTGCCCAGACACTGACAAAACAGTGCCGGAGGCACTGAATGGCTTTGCTCCTGCTGTAGTATACAGTGTAATGAATGGGGTCCTATGGGTGGGGTGGGTGACCTCATGATGGCGAGGTGATTGACGAGCGCGTCAGCGCTCGTCAATCACCGAGAACCCAATAGTTGCGTTCGTCTGGTCGTTCGCTTTAAAACGACGTATCATTTGTATTATAGGTTACTATGGAAACCTATATTGTTTTTGCTCGAAGATTTACAAAAAAAATTCCTTGGTTTGGTTTGGTTTATTTATTATTTCTTTTTTCTTCTGCACTTTGAACCTTAATTTGACCCCCTGAACATTGATGAAAAGTTGTGAAATTTTGCCCAAAATTCAGAACCGGTGAAAAATTAATTTTTTTGGTGTTTATTTTTATGGGACTAAAAAAATATCAGAATAGCGCCCCCTACAAAAGTCAGTTTACATTGCGCCTATGGGAGGGGGTCGAAGGTCAAGTTTGTCGTAGAGCCACGAAATTCGGTACACATGTTCCTCAGGTCAAGACATGAAAAAAAAGTTATTATGGCTCCGCCCCCTGACAAACAGGAAGCTCATTAATTTAATTGGAAAATGGAAAAATGAAAATAGATATTTTTCACACATGTCGGCTGGAAATTATCTCCTCCTCGGCCGCTTCACCGATTTGTCTCAAAATCGCTCCACATGGTCTAAACCCATGTCCCATCTATTATTGAATATAGAATTTGGATCAATTAAACGTTGTCCGAGCAGCGGAGCGGCAAAATGTGACATTTTTTTCCCAATTTTTGACAAAAGTAAATTTGCTCCCATTTGCACAAACAAAGCCGGATTTGCACCAAATTTTAATCCATTGTTCAGCTCCAGGGTCTAGGTCATCTGAAAGTGGAAATATTGAAATTGGCTCATTAGCGCCCCCTACAGACTATGTTAAAGTTTTACATGGGCTTTTTAAAATTTAGTTTTGTCAAAATGTTTGAAATTTTGCACATAATTCTGTTTTGTCATCTGGATTCAAAAAGTCAATGACAACATATGATTATTTTTTACCCTGTTGCCGTGGCGACGACCAACACTCCCCTGTCTGTGTCTATGAGAAAATCGTTAAATCTCTGAAAAGTACACCTCGCGCAAACATCAAACCAGCCTCGGCCCTTTCACTAATTTGGCTGAAAATTGCTCCACATGGTGTCCACACATGGACCATCAATAGTTGCATATAGAAATTTAATTAGTCAAACGGTCTGAGCGTGACAGACCCCCAAAGTGTGGTCATTTTCATAGAGAGGTGTGAAGGTCCCATGTTATCCAATGGAGACTGTATGGACACACTCACAGATTGTATGAACAAACAGGAGCACATTTACAAACTCTGATTTGCACTAAACTTGACTCGGTTGTTCAACTCCTGGGCCTAGGTCACATGACAGTGTGAACAATGACATTGGCCCATTAGCGCCCCCTACAGGCTGAGTAAAGGTTTACATGGGGATACAGGAATTTAGGTTTTGTGTTGTTTGATCTCATATTTGACCCACTGAACAAACACGAAAACTCACCAAACTTTGCCACAAGTTTTTTTCAGGCATAAAGTGTATTATTTTGGTGTTCTTTGGTATAAGACTAAAACATTGAAACTGTAGGGGGCGCTGTTGTACAACATTAAATGCCACCATTTGCACATACAAAGTCCGATTTGCACAAAATTTGAATTGATTTTTCAACTCTTGGGTTTGGGTAAACTGAAAGTGTAAATCATGAAATTGCAGCAATAGCGCCCCCTAGAGACTGAGTCAAGTGTTACATGGGGAGAATCAAGTTTACCTTTTCAATAGACACACACAATCACTAATCATAGTAATTCAAAATGCACAGTGTCGCTCCCATCAGGGGGGGAAAAAAATGGCGCGTCAGCGCCACCTCCTTTGCGCGGTGCGGCGAGGGCCGTTAGATGCCGCTTGCGGCTTTAATTAGGCCCGAGCCCCAACCGGGGTAAGGGCCTATTGCTTTTCCAACGAGTAATGCCTGGGCGAAGCCCAGGCATTACTCGTTGAACTGTTTTAAGTCACAATCTCCGGGCGCAGCCCGGAGATTGTGACCTGCACGCGACGGCACGTGCCCAAGCACTGATAAATCCGTGCCGGAGGCACGGAATGGCTTTGTTCCTGCTGTAGTACACAGTGAAATGATTGAAGTCCTATTAAAGGGGGGTTCCTTCAACTGTTTTATGGACGAATGTCCGGGCGAAGCCCGGACATTCGTCCCCCAAGCCCGACGGCGCGTGCCCAGACACTGACAAAACAGTGCCGGAGGCACTGAATGGCTTTGCTCCTGCTGTAGAACACAGTGTAATCAATGGGGTCCTATGGGGGGGGTGGGTGACCTCATGATGGCGAGGTGATTGACGAGCGCGTCAGCGCTCGTCAATCACCGAGAACCCAATAGTTGCGTTCGTCTGGTCGTTCGCTTTAAAACGACGTATCATTTGTATTATAGGTTACTATGGAAACCTATATTGTTTTTGCTCGAAGATTTACAAAAAAAATTCCTTGGTTTGGTTTGGTTTGGTTTGGTTTATTTAGGCCCGAGCCCCAACCGGGGTAAGGGCCTATTGCTTTTCCAACGAGTAATGCCTGGGCGAAGCCCAGGCATTACTCGTTGAACTGTCATAAGTCACAATCTCCGGGCGCAGCCCGGAGATTGTGACCTGCACGCGACGGCACGTGCCCAGACACTGATAAATCCGTGCCGGAGGCACGGAATGGCTTTGTTCCTGCTGTAGTACACAGTGACATGATTGAAGTCCTATTAAAGGGGGGTTCCTTCAACTGTTTTACGGACGAATGTCCGGGCGAAGCCCGGACATTCGTCCCCCAAGCCCGACGGCGCGTGCCCAGACACTGACAAAACAGTGCCGGAGGCACTGAATGGCTTTGCTCCTGCTGTAGTACACAGTGTAATGAATGGGGTCCTATGGGGGGGGTGGGTGACCTCATGATGGCGAGGTGATTGACGAGCGCGTCAGCGCTCGTCAATCACCGAGAACCCAATAGTTGCGTTCGTCTGGTCGTTCGCTTTAAAACGACGTATCATTTGTATTATAGGTTACTATGGAAACCTATATTGTTTTTGCTCGAAGTTTTAAAAAAAAAAATTCCTTGGTTTATTTATTATTTCTTTCTTTCTTTTTTCTTCTGCACTTTGAACCTTAATTTGACCCCCTGAACATTGATGAAAAGTTGTGAAATTTTGCCCAAAATTCAGAACCGGTGAAAAATTAATTTTTTTGGTGTTTATTTTTATGGGACTAAAAAAATGTCAGAATAGCGCCCCCTACAAAAGTCAATTTACATTGCGCCTATGGGAGGGGGTCGAAGGTCAAGTTTGTCGTAGAGCCACGAAACTCGGTACACATGTTCCTCAGGTCAAGACATGAAAAAAAAGTTATTATGGCTCCGCCCCCTGACAAACAGGGAAATCATTAATTTCAATGGAAAATGGAAAAATGAAAATTGATATTTTTCACACATGTCGGTTGGAAATTATCTTCACCTCGGCCGTTTCACCGATTTCTCTCAAAATCGCTCCACGTGGTCTAAACACATGTCCCATCCATTATTGAATATAGAATTTGGATCAGTTAAACGTTGTCCGAGCAGCGGAGCGGCAAAATGTGACATGTTTTTTCCAATTTTTCACAAAAGTAAATTTGCTCCCATTTGCACAAAAATAGTCAGATTTGCACAAAATTTTAATCCATTGTTCAGCTCCAGGGTCTAGGTCATTTGAAAGTGGAAATATTGAAATTGACTCATTAGCGCCCCCTACAGACTATGTCAAAGTTTTACATGGGCTTTTTAAAATTTAGTTTTGTCAAAATGTTTGAAATTTTGCACATAATTCTGTTTTGTCATCTGGATTCAAAAAGTCAATGACAACATATGATTATTTTTTACCCTGTTGCCGTGGCGACGACAAACACTCCCCTGTCTGTGTCTATGAGAAAATCGTTAAATCTTTTAAAAGTACACCTCGCTCAAACATCAAACCAGCCGCGGCCGTTTCACTAATTATTCTGAAAATCGCTCCACATCGTCTCAACACATGGACCATCAATAGTTGCATATAGAGTTTGAATTAGTCAAACGGTCTGAGCGTGACAGACTCCCAAAGTGTGGTCATTTTCATAGAGAGGTGTGAAGGTCCCATGTTATCCAATGGAGACTGTATGGACACACTCACAGATTGTATGTTTAAACAGGAGCACATTCACAAACTCTGATTTGCACTAAACTTGACTCGGTTGTTCAACTCGTGGGCCTAGGTCACATGACAGTGTGAACAATGACATTGTCCCATTAGCGCCCCCTGAA